GAAACACTTTTTTCGCAAACTCGTTTTGTAATACCTGTCTCTTATACACATCTAGATGTGTATAAGAGACAGCTGTGTCTCTGTGTGTGTGTGTGTGTGTTGTACATGCATGCCCAAAGAAAATGTGTGGTCCATTGCTGAGCAGCTGACGTGGCAGCTTGGCCAGCTGATGCGGCAGCCACTTTCTGTTCTCCAGCAGCTTACACAAAAGGCTTGGCAGCTTCCACAGAATGCAATGTTGTACATGTGTGTGTGTGATGATGTGTGTAGACACACTTCGCTTTAGCCTCAGCACAGAAACTGTGCACCATAGCGACACAATACCTCAGAAGGAAAACAAGCATCTGATTTGGGTAAAGTCAAAAGACAGTCCTCAGGGTAATACACCCAAGTTGACAAATCGCTACTGCAGACCAAATACAATCCTCCAAGTACTACACGCATTCAAACCCAATGACAAAAACGGTAGATCGGAAAATTACGAGTAGAACACCGAAAGCAAAAGAAAAGCGAACAAACTGAAAAAGAAACACAAGGTTCTAAGAAAATGCTGGGGCCAATAACATAGGCAATACAGGAACTACACAGTCATGTAGGCCGAAGGGTCGATGACAGGACGACTGGGGGAAGAGGGGAACCAGGTTAATTCTGGGAACGAACAGTGTTCAAAGATAAAGCATATGGAGACGAGATCAACATCTGGGGAAAACCCGACGGTGATGGTAGACAGACTGACGACGTAGGGATAGTAGGCAGGGGAAACGCATGGGTGAGGTAAGCACAGCAGGAAGGGTGAATGAGTGATATGCGGCCCAAGGGGCTGCTAGGACCCCCACCCCACCCCGTGCCTTGCCCTCTCGGGGATTATCCTGCAGTGTGCCTGGGTGCTGCTAGCAAGTTTCCCGACTTGCAGGACAATCCCCGAGGAAAGACCAAAGGGCGGGAGTGGGATGAACCGAAGCAACCCCCCCTTGTATAGGCGGCTCGAGCCACAAGGATAGGCCGACTTTCTTTTCTGTCTATTCTCCCCCGTTGCTTGTTCCAAAAAACACGTGCTTGCCAGTGATAAGCAACCGGACTGACGCCCCCCAGAATGGAAGGGGCTGTGTTGCATTTTTGGAAACACACACACGGGCAGCTGCCGCTCAACCACAATCAACGTGGGCTGCAGAGCCTTGTGCGTAAGAGGCACAGTAAAAGGGGAGCTGCAAGAACAATGAAAGGGGTACCCCAAGGACAACCAAAAAAAAAGTGTCTAATTATAAAATTGCTTTAATATGTTGGACATCTCAAATGCTCTTGTTGTCTGCAATAGGACAAAGACTGCTTTGATTCTGAATCTATTCACCTGGGTGGA